ACCTCTAGTTTAGTAACCGAGATAAGCTCGTATAACTATATATTCGTCGCTATATTAATACGAATACCCTCTTAGCTTATTAATAGTTATAATAATAAGAGGTTTATTATTCTTTTATTTTTATTAACTATAATAAATAGTTACCGAATTTTTTTTAGTTACTTATAGTAATTAATAAAGAAGAGTATTAACTAGTAAGCTTTCCCCTAGCTTATAGCTTTATTTTAAAAGTCCTTTAATAAGGGAGCTATAGTAGTAGCCGGGGTTAACCCTAAGTAGGTTACGAGCTTAGTATTAATAATATTTATTTTAAAATATATATTTATATTAACTTTTACTAGCTTTTTAATAATACTTTATAGAACTATTACCTTACTTTTTATAGTTATTCTTATTAGTACCTTCTTAATACTTAGTATAAGCGTATTAAGTATATTACCTATACTTATTCGTTTTTTAATAAGTTAACCTTTATAACTCTTAGCTCGGTAATAACTTATTAAATAGTTACTAACGTTAGTTTTAATTAGGAATACGTTAGCTTATTATTACCCCTACCTCCCGACTTATTCTTTTAGTACTTACTAAATATATAGCCTATTTTATTATATATAAAGTACTTAATATTATTATTATAATACTTTTATAATAGCTCGGTATAAGTACTCTTATTATATAGCTTTTATAATATTATTTTTAATAAGTCCCTAGAGCCTAGCCCTTTAGAGCTCTCTTTACTCTTTTTTTTATAAAAAGGGGATATTTAACGTAATTATTTTAATAATAAATATAACCTCTTTTTATTATCCTTTTATAATTAGTTACTACCTTTTTACTAATTTAATAATTATAGTTTATTAACTTCGTAAGCTATATTACGTACTCTTTTAATTAAGACTTTATAACGAATTAGATCGTCCTATAGCTAAAATAGTAGTTTAAAAAAAAACTAATATACCTCTACTTTTAAATTCTCTATGTTTTTTATACTTAGGTTATAATAAATTACTAACTATTTAGTAAGGAACTAAATAGGGGTCTAGCCCTTTTTTAGTTTTTTTATTTTTAATTTTTTATAATATTCTTATTCTTAAGTCTCGAGGTCTACGTATTATTAATAAATAAACGTTAAAAAGTCGTTCTAAGAGAGGGGATTTTAAAAGCTCTTTTTATAATTATACTATTATGTTTATAATAATAAGGATATTTTAAATAGGGCTTATTTAATATACTATTTTATAATACTTTTTATACGAAGCTTATTACTTATTTTTATAATAATAATTTAGTTTATTACTTAGGTACTCGTAAACTCTTCTTTAATTAGTTTATAGTTATAAAAAAGAGGCTTTTTATATTTTTATTAACTTAAATACGTTACTAGCCGCTCGGTAAGCTATTAAATAAGCTCCTCGTATTAATACCGTTCTTAGTTTTAATTTTTAACTATTATTTTTATTATTTTATAAAAGTAGGTTATTATTAAGCTTATAGGGTTTATTAAACTAGTTATTTTAGTATTATTTATACTTTTATACGTACTTTAACCTCGTATATTTAGCGATTAGTTACTAATAAACGCCCCGTTTATAATAAATAGGGTCCTCGGGGTATTAATAGGGTAACTAGCTTATAAAAGTAATTTACTTTAATTATTTTTTTTATCTAGCTCTTTTATAAACGCTAGTATTTAAGTAGGACTCGCCCTATAATAAGCTCGTTTTTTTAAATAAAATAGGGTTAAGTAATCGATTCTAAATAGCTATAACTCGTTAATATTAATAACTTTTTACTAATAGCTAAGTATTATTTTATTAACGTTCCGTTCGTTTTTATAATTTATTATTACTTATACTAATTATTTTATAAAAATAAAAGCTTTAAAATTATAAAAAATTAAGCTATAAGTACTTAATTAGCGAGGTTATAATATAAGTATAAGTATATTATAAAACTAAAGCTTATAGAGTCCTTTATAAGGGCTCTACTTCTTAAAAAGTTCTTTTATAATACGAACCGTATATTAGTTACTAAGTTATTAGCGTCTTATTACTAGCTATATCCCGAATTTATTATATTTTTAAATTCCGTACTATTTAACTTTAACCCTTTTCTTACTTATCCTTTCTTCTATTCTACCCTCTCCTTTAAGGGATTATTAAAATCGTAATTTTAATAGCTTATTAATAAGCTAGTATTATTATTTAAAAATAAGTAACTTATTTTTATATATAGGCACTAGGAGTCTTATTATTATAAAAATAATAATAAATATATTAAAGTACTTAAGAGAGCTTTTTAATAAATTTTTAATATTATTTAAAGTAATTATTCTTAAGCTATAAAAAGAAGCTAAGGTACTATATTAATACGGCCCTATCCGTTTTATTAGTACTAATAATACCCTTTTTAATATAAAATATATTAATAATATTTTATAGTTACGTTATTATATTTCGTAAATCGTACTTAATGTTAATAAAGTTTTTAGTATTATTTACTAAGTTTTTTATTAAAATTATTATTATAGGGTTAGTTTAGTTATTAATATCTTAGTAAGTATTTTAATTTAGTATATTTAGAAGCTCTTATAGCTCTTAAGGAGAGGCTTTTAAAGGACTTATAATTAAACTTTTTACTTATTATAAGTAAAGTTATTATAGTTAAAGCTATAGTACTATTTACGGACCTTAATAGTAAGTAGTTAGTAATATAATTATTATTTTTTTTATAATAAGCTTAAAAAAGTATTTTAATTTAAGTACTAAGTAGGTATTATACTATTTTATTAAAATTATATTCTTATACTTATGACTTAGAAAGAATTAACTTTCTTCGATAATAAGGTACTTAGAGACGTGTTCGTTGGAATTGTCTAATTAATCAAAGCAGTTGTCCGGTGCGTGAATGGCAGGGCGTTGGGTTGTGGCTTGACGACGGGTGTGGATGTTGGACGTTGGAAGGCAAGGGGGAAAGCGCCGGTGGAAAGCGTAGACCCGGAGCTGTTTGAAAAGTGGGTCTCTCGGAGCAAGGGGCGTCACAGCCGACTGCATCAAATGCAGTCGGATGATGGCCATTTGGTGGTCCATTGGTGGTGTTGGGTGACTGCCCCATTTCGGCTAGATCTTTTGACAGAAGGCACTACCCGTGGCGACCGGCACGAGGAATGAGGTGGCCGAAATCTGCGGAGAGAAGAGAGACGGGGAAGCTAAAAGCCCCTCCCGTGAGCTTCCTCTTTCTGTAGATCTCTGGAATCCCAAGCCCACCTGAGGTGATGAAGGTATCTAGGTATCTGAGGTAGGTACCTTACTTTCCCCCATTTCATTCTTGCTAAGGTACGGATAAGGTACCTTTAATTTTCCAAAGAAGCTGACTTCCTGCCTCAGTACTCCGCACCTCAAGGCACCTATACCCCAAGGTACCTTATCTTGAGCTACAGAAGATAGGCAGAAGCGACTGAGATTTTGGATTGATATTGATATACCTAAGCCTGAAGGATACGCGGTGGCGGCGTTAGCGTCCGCTCCAATTCAGCGCCGGTTTCTATTTTCAACGTCTTCTTTGTGGAAAATAAGGTGCCTTATGCAACGTGGACACAATGATTAAACGATTGAGGAGAACGCATCGGAGCTGTTGTGCTGGGGAGAGTCGATGGTGGCTTGGGAAAGTGCGTGTTCGTTCCGGCGCTAGGTACAGTGCCAGCTCCTGCCGTTTGATGAAGAAGCACCTTGAGCTCCTGCCGATTACCTATCAAGAGGCATCGTTGCGCACTGTGAGTCGCACCTGCCGCCAATACCCCTGTTCCTGGTTTCTGCCTGGACCGTGTGACGCAGCCTGGAACGATGGAGGCGCAAGCTGTATCCGTACAGTACCTTACCTAGTTAGATGCACCAACCTTAAGGTGAAGGTGCGTCAGGCCCCATTCCTTCCCCTCCATATTGTCACGCTCCTTCCCAGTTCCATGCCCGTCGTCAACGCGTCTGCAGCCTCAGTATCAACCGCATGCTCATGATTCAAGTTTCCGCCGGATGAAAGGTACGCCTGTCAACTCACTCATCATCAACCTTCGTCATCGGCCTCAACTCTGGCCTCGACTTTGACCGCGAATTAGACCCCATCTCTTCGGCCCGCCAGCTCGCTTGACCACTGTCCCTTCTCCGTATCCTACTTACCCGAGCACCCCTCATCCGTCCCGATCATCCCTTCCTCGCGCCTTTGCTTCGCATTCTATCTTTGCCCGATGGTTCCCCCGATCTTTGCCAGCATCGAATAGGACAGTCGATCCCGAGTGGACGCGTTAAGCATTTCGTCGCATCACTCTTGAGCTGGAGTCTTCATGCTCCTCTCGTCACATCAACGAGACTAGTTCCGCGCCGCGGATTTCCTCCAAGCGTTAAGTCTGCCGGTCGCTGGCCGGGCCTCCAACGACCAGTCTCTCCACGGCACGCGCGCGCAAAGCGCAAAAACATCTACTTGCCCGACCTTTTCTGTTTCACTTTGACGCGCGCGGTACTCTCCTCGACTCGTCTAATCTTCTCGACTTCAGCGCATCTTTCTCTGTTCCCAACCTACTATCCACACAAGGTTACCAAACTATCGCAAGGCTTGCCGTGCCATGGTACCCAGCATATCTGCCCATGGTCTCATCTGAAGCACTTGGCTCTATCCCGCACTCCCTCATAGCGACCTCGTCGGTCCCCGCGCCCCTACTTGCTTCCCACGCAACTTATCCACGCAACTTATCCACGCAATTTCGTGCTTAGCGCCTACCCGGGCTCCGGACCATACTCCGAACCGAAGAATCCCCATTTCATTATTACTTCGAAGTAACGGGCAACCACCTTTATTGACCACGACTGGACTTGAACAGCTACTCCAGCTGTACCAACTGTTCGTACAGCTCCACATCTTTGTCTCATCTGTGCTTGTGCTCTTTGGAGACCAGAACAATTCATTTGGTGTCATCACCATCTCGTCGCTTGCAGGCGACTGACTCAGCCATGGACGCAATGCACGACGAGATGGCCCCAGATCAGCTCCTCTCTTCGACCCGCCAGCTTGCTATATCACATTCTTCTCCCGCATTGTCTGTACCCGCCGGCGATCATGGCCCGGGCTACGCCGTTTCCTCCACTCAGCTCGACTCCACGTATCCGGCGGTCACTGATGCCCGACCATGGCCCCAAGCAGCCGATGGGGTTCGTGACGATGATTACTACTACCATCATCACGAACAGTACCTTCTCGAGGCCTCGTCAGCGTCTTGTCTGGCGTTGTTTCGGCCTCCATATCAGCCTACAGGCGCCATTTCAGAAATTCCAAACGAGATCATGCTGCACATCCTTGGCTATTTGGATGTGAATGATCTCTTGTCAACTTCGAGGGTAGGCGTTCCCCACACACAAGTGACTGTCTATTCTCTTTTGCCTTGGAACTCACTCGCTTCATCCTCCCTTATGCGAAATTCCCACCTGTGCTTGCTGTCCCCTCCGTTGATCGACCCCGTTGTTGCTGAACTCTGCTGATGACATAGACCAATCATCACCTGCGTCACCTGTCCCTCTCGCCTATTCTCCATCACTATCGGCTCCGTCACACGCGTGCCATCCTGCCGCCGTTGTTATCTTCCCCTTCCCGCCCTTCTCTAGCGGAGCTCATCGCCCGCTCCATCTTTCTGACTCACACATCGGTCGTCTCGCGACGCCTTGCTCGCTCTCTGGTCTCCATCCGACTGTCCCGCCGACTGGCCTCGCGGCCCTCGGCCGAAGCCCTCGTCAAGCGGGCTGTGCTCCCGCCGGAATGTGTCCCCGGAATGAGTTTGGTGCAAGTCGCGCCCGCTCTCGTTGCGAAGCGCCGCGCTATTGAAAAGGAGAAGGTCAAGGATGGCTTGAGAAAGTGGGTAGAGGGCGTGTGGAAGGGCGAGGTACGTCAGCGAGAAGAGGGTATCAAGAAGTGGGAGGAGACCAAGGGCGTGGGTAGGGTCTGGCGGCTCCGACGATTCTGGGAGCGTGTGTCGAGGGGCGACGGTGCCGATCTCCGGTAGGCCAGTGAGGCACTCTGTACGACTCTAAACTGAACTGGGTATCGAATTGGGCATTGAGTTGCGGCTCTGGGAGCCGCCAACGGCGTTACTGGGCAAGGATCACGATGTATTCATAATGTCGGTCATAATGAGCCAAATGTGCACTAGCAAGCAACTGTGAATTCCGTTGCCGTCTGTCTGTCTTCGCGCAATGTGGCACCTTTGCATGTCACTATGGAACACACATAGGATAGCATCCTGTCCTAGGTTGCGAAAAGTTATGGATGTAATAGTCGTCAGGTTTGTTAATGCTACAAGTAATCATAATCCACCGCGCTCAGCCGTCCTACAAACCAGTCTGGCCAGCAAAGCAGTGCGAAGCACCGGCCTCGATAAGTATTCCCTTCTGAATCTTCTACCTTAATCCGACCGTTTGCTCGTTTCAAGAATAATAGCAATAATGCAAAGAATGCCTACGAGGACAGAAGCCCAGAAAGAACAGAGCGAGACGTAGTAGATTGTACGGATTCGACTGTCGATTCTCTTTTGGAAGATAGGGTCAAAAAGGCCGTCTTCGGAGGGATACGTGGTCTTTGGGGGTTTCTTCCAAAGTGAAAAAAAATCCAAAAGTTAGCAAATTGTCGATACAGAATGCAAACGGTAGCAGGATTGCACTCACTTCGATAGAAGGCTTGGGAGACACAACGGGGCGGCGATTACACTCGGGGCATTGATGATGAGGGCCGGCGCACTGTAAATTGCCATCGTCAGCGAGTCTGCTCTGGAAATCATTGACGGATCGAGAGTCCCGCGATCGTGCATACCTCGTCGCAATAGACATGGCCGCACCCGAGGGGTTGGCAGATGGAAGCGCGACATTGTCTGCACTGGTGGGCGGGTGCTACACCAGGAGACGCTGAGCCTGATGCCGGAGTCGACGTCGGTGTTCTTGGCTCCGTCCCGGCAGCCGGGACATTGGTGTCATTCGCAGCAGCAGCAGCCATTGTGAGCTTGTGATAGCCGTAGTCTAGCGACGGGTGATGGGTCTGGCTGTTCGATTTTCCAGATGGAGCAACACGTTGATAAATGGAAAGACGACGGCGTTCGCGTGAAAGAAATTGCTCTCAAGATGAATTATCTCAGTGGCGGCCGGCGCGGAAAAGAGAAGATTTGGAGAACGATGTCTGGGGTTTGGCTGCTACCGGAAGGGAATAAGGACAGAGCTGTGATGAGATGATTGATGCCATGTAGTTCGGAGATTGGGACATCATGTTAGCACTCAAGACTCGAACCTGCCAAATGCCATCCATGGAGGTGTAAAAGATGGAAGGAAGGAATTACAGAGGTACATCATGATGCTAGGTACCTAGGTAGCTCCCAAAACTGACATGAACCCAGCCTGATGTTTCTGCTTGACGAGCAGGTGCATACTTCAAGGAGGACTGGTGTGTGGCGCGGTGTTGCTGACGTGCCACGAAAACCTGGAGCACTAACTCAGTCCCAGAAGGATGCCCCTGAACCTTCTCGTAAATCCTTCCTGAGAATCAAGCGTCACGGCCGCTTCTGAAAGATGGCACCTTCCCAAGGAAAACCTGCCCCTGATGTTGTGGAAGGTACTCATCGCGACAAGGAAGATTCCGTGTTCAATGACTCTCGAGGCTATTTCTACCTACCTAGGTACCTTCAACATTCCAGATCTTGCCCGAGCAGTCATTTAATGACGGGAATTGGAGGTAAGCGGACGTCAAGTCAATTTTCCTTTTACGAAAGAGTTGGAAATGCGTCAGTATCACCGCTAACCAACATGATGCCGAACATCCACCTCACATACTCGTTTTCAAGTTGCGGATGCCATTGACGGGTGATTATGAGCATTTGGAGACCCAAATTCCTCCAAGGAACATGAAGTCGTCTTATTTACTATAGCGGTTGAGCACTGAGCGCGGAAGGATTGGTCGACACCCTACAGGAGATCGCCGCCAGCAACTCACTCCAAACTTTGCGCGCCACAGTGCATGATCATTCCCAGGGCGACCTTCAGTCTCCTTGGTCCGGCTATCCCAATACTTTATAAAGCACCATATAGCGAATTAGCTGCATCTCAACCTTTTGTAACTACGTGCGAATACACTTTCCGAATATTTGACACGCCATGGACCTACGGGAGAAAGTGGAATGGACAAACTGAGGTAGCCCAGAAGCCTAGGTATTTGCGACCTCTACGGGCCCGAAAGACAGCCTGAGTAGACATTTTAGGGTCAGTCATAGGAATTCCGCTTGATTTTGGCAATGCAGAAGCACCTCAAGTCTGACTTACACCTACATCTCTTATCTTACCAGGCGCTGAGACACTACACATCGTCTGCACGACTGCAACACGAGTTTTCCATCAGGTCCGTATCAACGGACACTGATTTCAGTATCTCTTACGTCTCTAAACGATCAGTTGCACCGTCTGACTTGGTGTGGGGCACCAGATCTTCAACAACTTACTTTTGCGTCAGGGGTTGAGAGCTGTGGCCCGTAGGGGGTATGTCGTCTGGCTGCCCAGTGCAGATAATGACATCGCCGGAATTATGCCCTCCGTTCTGCTTTCTTTTTCTGATTCTTCATCCGCTGCAGATATGTAGGATGACCGAGAATGAAGTGCCGCAGGACGAGTCAGACGTACAAGGTGATAGCTAATTCGATCACTTCTGCACGTGTACGGTCCACGGATCGAAGTCACCTCGGACATAGTGGCAGTGTTCTGCCTGCGTAATCTCCTCAAGCCTGTGACAAAAATTTCCACCTACACACCATCTTCTGGAGGCAGTACGCAAGTCGGCTCTGCCGAAAACCCAAACAGAAGACCGGTCATACTATTTCGGAACACTCTAGAGCCTAGACAAACTTTGTTGTGTTCGACTGCTGTCGTCTTTGGGGCCGAAATCAGTCTCAGATAGGGGCTACTTAGTTGTGCAGGTAGGTATCTAGCCAAAGCTAAGGGACATTACCGGGGCCGAAAGCACGGGTTCACACCTCACCCTTCGACCCACGCGTTCCCAACGGCCGTATGTATCTGCGGCGGAGGGAGACTTCTGTCACGTCGTCAAGCCTTGCAGCCCGCTGCAGCCTGTACCCCTTATCTTCAGTTCCATACTAGTGGCTTTGGCTAGAAATGTAGGGCCTCATAACTCGCTCAGATACTCAGCCTTGTTGATTTAGTATAGAATTGTGCACAACTGTGCCTAGCCATACAGTATTCGAGTTTATTCCCATGGCAATATGTGTAATCGATCTTGGACCCATCTCCAAGCTACGGAGATTCTGCGCTAGCGAAAAAGGAAGTCGAGTTTCGAGCCCATAACTGATGTTCGCTTTCGAATGCGAGGTTTTCAAGTCTAATCGCAGCGTCCGTCATAAGTGCTATAGGGCGGCATGTAATCCTCATGCCAAAATAGTACATAGGATATTCATGCCCTTCTCCATCATCATCACTAAAATGATAATAATAATAATGATAATACACATGTCAGTCAGCACGCCGAGTGTCTCTCAGTCAAAGTCATGCCGAAACATGTATGGAAATGGTGGATATGTTTGCTTTTGAGAAGTCTCTTTCAGCTTTGGAAAAGGGTGTGCGTGTCACATGCTGGATGAATTCGCAATGCACCCAGAATACCTCGTATACTTGTATCCCCAACTTTGAAAGGAGATTCTCAAAGTAGAAGGAAAAGATCAAAAAACATAGAGAACTTTGCATCTCATGCCATCCGTAGAACATGGTTTTACTCGGATTCCTCGTCGTTCACTAAGGTAAGTCATCAGACAGCTACAACTCGTCAAATAAATACTCATCACTCTCCCCACTATCCTCATTATCAACCTCTATTTTCCAAAGAAAAGTAGCCTTTGATAAACAAGACGAACTTTCCGCGGCAATTGGTTCTTCATGCCTCGTCTGGGTCCGTATTCTTTGGCGAGCATTCGATGTCTCATTTGGCATACTAATACTTGACTCAGGTGAACATAAAGGTCTCAAAAATTCTTCAGCACATTTTTTAGTACTCGCCAAGAGTCATGGTATACATGGGAACATTAATAACCTGGAGCTTGGGGATGAGCTTTGTGTAAGCTCGAAGCGGTTCCATCTGAGCACGTAGGGTGTCAAACTGGGAATCCCCTTGGGTTGTTGTTATAATAGGTAGAGCCAATAGCCACGGTTCACGACACTGCCTTGGCGAATGGAAGAGACACGCGGCAGCCTCATATTTGAAAGACGTATCAATTCCCAGTATCAGAAAAGCAAAGGAAGCGGAGCGTCTTCTGAGGTGCCCTGGGCTCCCCTATGAAACGCTACACGATAGATGCTAGACGCCAGAAAACTCCATCACCAAATCCTCTTTGCGACCATTTCGTACCGTTGAACTCCGTTATAGTCGCCTTGTTGTGGCCTTTCCGGTTTCTGAACCCTTCCCTTGCCCCCCTTCAGGCCCTCCTTGTCATCAGCGTGAATCCATCTTCGTCGGTCTTCCGTGACCTCGATCTGACCGTAACCTCCAACTCTCTTCCCGGTAGCATCATAGACCTCGCGCTCCTCCTGACCAGTTGCCACCATGTGCTCCTTATGCTTCATCCTGGCGTACCTGTTTCGGGAGTATCGCAGCAGAACCATGCCCAGTAGCAGCTTGACGATAAGAAGGACCAAGAAGGCGATGAAGAAGACGACAATCATGGTAACTGCCGCAATTACATCGTCACTAGTCCACGTCCACCATGCTCTGCTCTGGACACTTGGCTCTCCGTAAGGATAGCCGTAAACGGCCCGGCCTAAGGCATCCCTAAGTAACGTGTCGAGACGGTCCAGCGCTGCCACCATTGCTGGCGACGAGGGTGTCGCAGACTCGACGGATAGGGATGTCTGAGTTGACTCTGCGATGGGCGTAGCTATACGTGTCGAAAGAAACATGTGATACGTTTGGACAGAGGCTCGAATGAACAGGCACGACAGCGGGATGACAGCCAGACCAAGTCGTCTCGTCAGCGAAGGAGAGACAAATGCCTACAAGAAAAATTAGTCTCCAGCAACATAATGGGAAAGGACCTCTTCCGGAGTTGCTTACATTAGTGTAGTAGTCCTTGCACAAGATGTCGAGGATGCGGCTGTAGAATGTCGGCTTGATGTTATTGAACTTGTTTACGTAGGCGTGTTTGATCGTGTCGACCAGCATCTCGCTGCCAATGACAATGAGAAAGGGGGACAGCACCTCGCCAGACCAAACCCAAGACGGAAGAATCGTGAAGCTGAACGGCAGGATCGAAGGGCTGTGAAGAGGCATAGCGCCAGAACCTCCCAGGTCGCTGTTTTCGGACCCTGCCCCAGGTACGGAGAGCCCACCAACCTCCACAATATTGCGCATGCCGATAATGAACAGCATGATCCAGAGTTGGAAGCGCTCCACAATGTCCGCACAAGTCAGCTGGAACAGGTTGTCTTTTTCGAATCTCTTGAACACCGTGCTCTTGATCTCAACGAATTGGTTGGAGATCATGAGAGTCAACAGAGCATTTGAATAGGAGTTGACAGCCACATTCAGCGTGATGACTTGGTAGTAGAGCGCCACAGAATGGATGACATTGTAAATCAGTGCAAGTCCGAACATGCCCAGCGGAAGAAGCACCTTGGACCGACCGGAGCTATTTCTAGACAATGTTTCGGAGCTGAAAAGACACTCAAATATGTCCTGGCCAAGCGCTGAAAGGAGGCGATCCCCGACCTGGCTAGATTAGCGACAATTTCTCCAATGCTAAGAAGGAACTTACCTCGAGGACGTTGTAGATGACATAGAGCTTGATGCCATCCTGTGCTCGAATGAAGTGATACATTCGGCTAGCGTCCAGCTTCATGAGGAATAGCGAGCTGAAAAGAATTACGGCGCCTTGTAAGAGATCCGCCTTGTGAAAGGAAGACAGATTAGAGGGTATCGATTTCGTCCTACGATGTCGATGCACTCTAGAGGCAGAAGGGTGTGGAGGGTGATGGCTCGAAGGTCCATTCATCTTATGAGTGATATGCCCGTTCCCATTCAATCTGACCTCATGCTCAATGACTCCATTGCCGTTCGCTTTGACATCTGAGTCGACATGGACAGCTGGGATGTTGTCAGGGAACCTCATATCCGTTGCTGGGGTAGATGATCTGCGCCCCGGCGGCCGACTCTGGCTTCTGTCGCGGCTGACAAGGTGGTCGTTGTCTCCTTTTTGAGCGGACAGCGCACTTCTTGCCCTAGGTCTCCGTGCTCTGGCCCATACTCTGCCCAGCCCGTACCAAACGAAACCAACCATGAAGCGTGCCTCCTTGATAGCCATATAGCCCCACCATCTGAACAATACCCCGAGGGCAATGGCAAATCTCATGGGCAGGATCGTAAAGTTATAGAGCCAGGCATCGAGACATGCCAGAGCTCCGAAATAGAGCGTTCTCTCCAGAAATGTCGGCAGTAGTAGAACATTTTTGAGTCTTTCCCATTTGACGACGTAGGACTCATAGGGTATGTCGTTGGTGTGCGAGTGGTGTATGTACAGAGGGCTCGGTCGTTGGGCTGCTAGTTCCAACTGAAGGTGCGTGGGTATAGACATAGGCGGGAGGGGTATCGAAGGAGGGAGGGGCGATGGCGGAAAAGGGTCATTTCGCTGTGACTTTGTTGGCGGCGGAACCTGGAGCTGCGGTGGTGGTTGTTTGTTCAGACTTGTCGGCAGAGGGTTGATTGCGTTGAAGTGGCTGGTGGCATCAAGGTTGAGAGGCGGTGGCCTGGCAACAGAGTAGAAGGAATTTCGGCGGGGCGACGTGGTTTGTGACTGTGATTGTCGTCGATTCGTGGGAGGCGTCGAGAGCGTTCTGCCTGAGACAGGTCGTCTTGGCTCGTCTTGATATCGCGACCTATTTCCGCCGTCCGTCACGGGGCCGTTTCGTCGCAGAGAGTCGGGCTGACTGAGTATCGACTGTCGAATTGCCTCGAGCTGATCTGCGAGAGGAGAGCGAACCAGCTGTTCTTGACCGTCAGGGGTTTGGTCGGGAACTACTGCGACAGGGAGAGCTTCGGGGGCGGTGAGTTGTTGTATCCCTGCGACAGATAATCTCCTAACATTATCGTGGCTTTGATTCTTCTTCATGGATGCGGAACTCGATCCGGCCCTGGCCCTTGACTTTGGTGCCACGTCGTCCTTATTCTCAGCCTCCTTCTTCTCGGTAGCAGTCGCAGGCTCGGACGTGGACGAAGAGTTGGACGATTCTTGCTTCTCGGGCTTACTATGCGTGGATGAGGCATCGGAAGACTGTTCCTCATCGGAGTGGCCACCGGGAATGGTAGGGAGGGTCGAGGTAGGGGGTGCGCTCGCAGACACGTTTGGTAAGGGAGGGAGAGGTATGTGCGACACTTTGATATCGTTCTCGGCCTTCGGAATGCCCTCGTCGTATGCCGCATTTTCGGGAGCGAAAGTAGGCATGGGCGGGAACGCCTCGACCGGGTCTATGGGCAAGACATCGGGGCGTACAGAAGTCTCGTCATGGTTGTTATGGTTGTCGTCGTCGGCCCCTCGATCATTGTGGTGTTCGCTCGCCGCCATTCCCAAACCCTTCACTGTCTTTTTTGGATGGGAAGTATCGCCGCCATTCGCACACGGATATGGAGACTGTGATTGGTACCGTGGAACGCAAAGGACTCTATGAATTGCAGATTGGAAGGAAACGTAATGCGCCAGGGTTTTCTAGGCACGTTTTGCGATAGCATCTGGCGCAGCGAGTGGTTCAAGCAATTAGCTCTGCAGTCTGCAGTTCTTCAGGTCGCGTGGGGGGGAAATGTTGCCGAGCGGGCGATCTCCAGGAACGGCTGGATTGGTGGCCGGACAGGGAAACCTGGCGGCACAGCGCGGTAGAAGACAATGAGACCGCTGTGGAGACGCTAAACTGGGTCTCTAAACGCCATGGTCCAGTGGACTCGGGACGGAGACGGAGGGGAGGCATCATGGCAGTGACGTACTGGGATGGGACGTGCGCTCGCTTTCGATTTACGGTGAGTTTTTGGGATCGAAGGTGTGACTAAACCATCTGTCGCAAGGTGTGTTCACCGAAGGAAGTATCAGTATCATTCTCTGAGGTTATTCACCACTCGGCTACTCTATCAAGTTAATCAACTATACATTCAGAGTCCCAAAATTCTGCCGAGATGATTCTTCATGGATCCGAGGTTCTCCAGCGCCTACAAGATTGTCGATATTGTATATGTGCAGTAAAACATGCAAACGACCTTCATCTCGGGTCGTCACCAGAAGAGACGCCTTTCACGACAAGAATATGATGGATCTGGCTGGGACTTCTGGCCATCAAAGGGATATTTGGTGCGAAAACCAGTTGCTAGATTTCTCAATGTGCCGAGGGAAGAGACTGAGGTAACGTAAATTGCGATGTTCGGGTTTAACCCCGGCGGCCGTTGAAGACATCAGGTGTCGGGCCGCACACCGAATCGGCAAATCACCCTAAGAAAGACAAGGGCGATTTCCCGACCATGGCATACACCACCCGCACCCGTCGGGCCCAAATCACTTTGCGGCGTCAGGACCATTTACCGGCACTGTTCTGTGTCCATGATAGTACAATTCTGTGAAAAGTATGAGAAGAAGATCAAGACCAGAATCAAGGTACCAGGTCGTTCCACCACCTTAATTCCGCTACTGCCGCCGCTCAGATTGCCGTTTCGGAACCGCACCGCTCGACTCCTTAGATTCCAAAACTCCATGGACTAGCAAGACTAGGAGCACGACGAGAGGGCATTCGGCTTATGTCCAGCTAAAAACCGAGACACCGCAGCTCGGCGAAGTGGGGGCTGAGAGAGACCGGCACCGGTGCCCGAAAGAGTTTGTGTTTTCATCAGGGTGGCATTTTGTCTCATCGAGAGGGGGGGGGGGGGGGGGCACAGCGTCCGAGTTACCAGTTGAATCTTCCTCTTGATGGATCGGAACGGATCTCGGTCCACCCAAAGTAAGAAAGGAGGTACGAGTAGTCTCCGTTTTGGAGATCCAGTTGCTTGGGTGCTTGGGTGCTTGGTAATTCCTCACGTCAACGGGCCCAACTTGTCCAAACCCCCCCCCGGCGCTGAACATCCGTGGGCCCCTCCAAGGTCAATGACGCCCCTCCCACGTCCTGCTTGAGCTTCAGACTCTTTAAGGTCGATGGGGCCCTCTTCTTCGTCCGACCCTGCTATCCGTTCCTCCCGTCCTCTGTGATATCGTCTTCTTACAAACATCAAGTACTTACACACTTATAAACTCAAGAAAATCAACAGTCAACATGGCATCCAACCCTCCCGGACAATGCTGCACCGTCGGTGTCAAGCACGAGTAAGATACCCCAAGATCCCATTGAGCGACACACACTGCGTAAAGAGCTACCCCGCCCCCCACTCTTCCAAAGCTTGATTGAGTGAATCCTGCCTGCACCTGTCACCGAGAAACCCGTTCCAAAGTCCCAAACAGCAGCCTTATGGCATGTCTGTCGGCTGATGTGATACGCCAATCTCCCAATTAATCGCACAATAAGACTTCTCGCTAATCGCTTTCCGACCAACATAGAGGCACTCCTCAGGGCAAGAAGATCACCGTCGCCGGCAAGTATGAGGGCTACCTCGCCGAGGCTCCTGCCGACAAGGCACACAAGAACACCGGTCTTCTCTACGTTGCCGACGTCTTTGGCATCTGGAACAACTCCCAGCTGCTTGCCGATCAGTTCGCTGCTAATGGCTACACCACCTTGATCGTTGACCTCTTCAACAAGGACCAGCTTTCTGTCCCCATGCCTGCTGGCTTCGACGTTATGAAGTGGATCGCCGAGGGCAGCGATGGCAAGAACCCCCATAACAAGGAGGCCATCGACCCCATCATTGTCGATTCCCTCAAGTACATGCAGACCGAGCTCGGTCTCACCAACATCGGTGGTCTCGGCTACTGCTTTGGCGCCAAGGTATGTTTTCTCCCCTACCCTCCCTGTTCTGTAGCTGCTACGACCGCCGGTTTCTGACATGATCACTTGACAGTACGTTGTCCGCCACTACAAGGACGGCATCAAGGTCGGCTTCGTGGCACACCCTAGCTTCGTCGACGAGGATGAGCTCGCCGCCATCACCGGCCCCTTCTCCATCGCCGCCGCCGAAACGGACAGCATCTTCCCCGCCGAAAAGCGTCACAAGTCCGAGGAGATTCTGCAAAAGACCGGCCTGGCATACCAGATCAACTTGTACTCTGGCGTCGAGCACGGCTTTGCTGTCCGCTGCGACGTGAGCAAGAAGGTTCAAAAGTATGCAAAGGAGCAAGCCTTTTACCAAGCTGTCGCTTGGTTCGATGAGCACCTTTTGTGACTAGCGATTAGCCGTGAGGGAGAAGCCAAGTTATGAATGATGGGCGCCGCAGCTGATACCAGAACGATGGGCGGGTTTAAGAATACCAATTGATTATTGCGCGATATGATGTCGTTCCACACCTTGATATCTCGGTCTCCTGAATGCTCTTAAGCTCTTAAACAACGACCGCATCAAGCCCTCTCGGCCCAGTCTCGCTTGATAAAGTCGGCACATCGCTCTGCCACCATATAAGTTGGCGCTACAGTGTGAGCACTCGTCACCTTTGGGAAAACGCTTGCATCAGCAACGCGCAAGTTTCGGAACCCGTGGACCTTCAAATTCTGGCCGACCACACCTTTATCGACCACGGTACCCATGCGGCACGTTGAAGTTGCGTGGTAGATGTTGACCAAACGCTCCCTGATGTAAGCGTCAATCTGTTCATCCGTCACATCCCGCCACCCACCTTCGACCGTACCGGCCTTGACTCCGGGGGCGAGATGCCAGGTAGCGTTGAAGGGGTACTGTGTCTGACGGAAGCGCTCTACAAAGCTCATCGAGAAACGGGCGGCCTTGCGCGCTGCCGCCCAGTCGCGGGGATCTGTGATGTAGTGATGGAACACTTTGGGATGCGCCAGAGGATCTGAAGACGCGAGCTCGATTCTACCCCTAGAGAATGGCTGCACTAGTGTTGTCTGGAATGCGCAGTACCCCTTGCCCTTCTCATAGTCATACGAAGCATTAGTGAACAGGAGCTCAATATCAGGTACGTTCTCAGGCCTTAGCGCATCCGTGTTGTCGTGTTTCTCATCGATGCCATTTCCGTGGTGTCTCACAGTCATTGTGGTCTCGTCAACGGTGCTTGTGTGAAACCAAGCACACAATCTGGTTCCAGAAGTCGCCAATAAGCCAGTCTTGAAGAAGAGAAAGAGGACAAAGTGCCAAATGCCAATAAGTGGACTGAACAACCGGAGATATGAATCGATGAGACGGGTGCGGAAGGCGATGCCGAAAGTTATGTGATCTTGAAGGTCAGCACCAACTCCCGGCATATCTCGCACGAGTGGGATGTTGTGTTTTTCAAGATGTTTCTTTGGTCCTATACCGCTGCGAAGAGTCAGCGACGATCGAACGTGCTGGAGGGTCTCAGAGAAATAATACCTCAACATCAGAAGCTGCGGTGAGAAGTGAGTTCCACAACAAACGATGACCTCTCTCTCGGCCTTCACGAAGCATTGCCTGGCAGGGCTCTTGTCAAGATGATCCAAAATGTGAACACGCGTTACTTCTGTCCCATCGTCGTTCGTCTGAAGCTTTGTGGCTACAACACCAGTGCAGAGTGTGAGTCTCTCCCTTCGCTCATCAACCGTCGACTTTGGAAGGTAAGCTGCCAATGAAGAATGACGATAGCCAAACTTGTCTATCATGATGTCGGTCGTGAAGAGGCCCATGGCCGGGGCATTTGGGTTATTGCCGTCATTCTGGACAGGGAGGTTCATGTCGCCTGCAGCTTTTTGGATGCTGTTCGAGGCACAAGTTAGCAAGGATTTGGGGAATACGGTCACTACAACATACTATTGGTCTATCGGGAAGTTCAAGGGATTCTGTCGAAGGTAGAGCGGCCCTATCTTAAGTTAGCTCGATCTCGAGAGGAAGAATTGGATGACACCAAATACCTTCATGACCGCGGTAGGGAGCATCGGGGTGGCAAGCAGCGTTCTCAATCTTCTTGAAGTATGGCTCGCACTTATCCCAGCTCCATTCATCATTACCAAGCGCAGCCCATTGGTTGTAGTTACCCGGCGCGCCGCGCGTGAGCATCAGCCCGTTGACTCTGGTGGCGCCGCCGAGTGCTTGAGTATTGAATGTCCGAGTCTTGCACCCCGTCCATCGCTCGTCGGGCTCAGACCAGAATGTCTCGATCTGAGGACCCTTGCCGTCGCTCGCATTCCCAACGATAGGAATACGATCAAGCCAATTGTCTTTCACCTTGCCTTTGCAGACAATGAGGACGCTGGTGCTTGGGTCTTCGCTCAGTCGGGAGGCGAGGGCGCATGCTGCTGTACCGCCTGCATAATGTCAACTTGGGGGGACTTGGCCTCCTCGCCAACAACGACACCTACCGCCTACGATAACATAGTCAAAGGTTTTCCCGTCGACGTCAACCGCTTTGCGCTCCGGATAAGAACGAGAAAATAGCCAGGCCATGGTTACCTGACTGAAAGAAGCGTTATGGGACGATTTGGAAAACGGACTGGACTGTCCTGACGAGTAAGAGACCTCATTCAAACTATCTACTCCGAGTAGTATCTTGGGGGCTGCTGTCAGATGAGGGGTTCTTTCTTATATTTTCGAAGGACCATCACTCGTCTTAAAGCCATAGACTAGTCTTACACCAAGGATCAATCGCAATCTACAGGAACACCAGAAAGTGCGATCTCTCCAATCGCTGGCTGATCCTTCGCCGGCTAACCCAGGCACTTGTTTAAACCTTGGCTTCTGTTACCTACTCACACGGCAGTCCCGGGAACTAATGTTGGGAGGAATAACAAGAGGATATCTAGAGAACAAGGACAAGAGTCTGAGACCTTTTCATCATGGGCGATATTTCTATGAGAACCCGTCTTCATTCATTTGCGGCCCCCAGTGTACCCCGGATCTATGGCATCTCAGCATCAGCTCACCGCCAGCAATACTTTCATGCCAACCGACTTTGCATGCTGTAGCACACCAATGTCGACCAACTATCATCAGAGAAAGACCAATACCGATAGGCAGGCCGCAGGAACGGCCAAGAATGCGTGCGAGTCGAACGGTCCACGTTCAACAGCAGTGAAACTTGGCTGCTTGTCGATTGACATCGGAAGCACTCAATGGTGCCCCACTGCCTCCACTACCTAAGGTACTTTTCTGTGTATGTCTTGTCACTAAACAATAAGACACTCAAGTATCCGTAACCTGAGGTAAGGATGAGTTCGGATACCTAACAGGGTGTTGCGAGAATTAGATGGAAACTCCCATTGACTTTGAGATGACTCGTCTATTCGATTAAGGTACCTTACTGGGCATTGGCGGGGAAGAGGGAAAATAAGCACTGAAAACAGGGCACGACTCGTCTTTTTCGTGCCTGCCGTTTCTCATCCTGGGGTTCCTACCTTACTGTGTAGGCCGAGGTGCTCTTTCCTTCCATTTGCACCGACCTGTGGTTCGAAGTTTGAACGGCGGCCCGCTCCTAGCCCCAGTGATGGGAGGAAGGCGCAAGACGCGAGCTTAGCCACGCTGTTCGCGCTCTTTTTGAACGTCTGCACTGCACTGCACTGCACTGCCCCCAGAATGGACGATAGTCACCTAAGCTTCATCAGTCGATGATTTCCCCCTCCCACAACGACGTCGCCCATCTTCCACGTCAACATACATCGCATCGCCTTGCCTTACATCTGCATCTCCATCAACAACAGCGGAGCCACCACTGTCCTCGTCCCCAGAATCCCGCTGCCTGTTGCACAGCAAAGTAGCGCAGTATCAGCCACGAGCTAGCAACTGATAGGGCTATTGGGAAAGACATGGGTGTAAATGCTGACACAGGGGAGGGGTTGGGTTGGGAATGGGGCCGGGCCGGTATAAGCAGGCAGGCAATCAACGATTCCATGATTGGAGATGGCTGGTGAGACGAGCTGAAGCTGCTACGGAGCACCAAGTACTGGGGCGAGCATTCGCTTCTCGACACTGGACTGGCCTGGTCGCACATCCCATGGCATCCCACCTACACACTTCTTCCGTTTCCCGGTCGCGGCTGTGCCGCCATCGCGCGCTAGCCAAAAGTGCAGCCTCGTCCTGTCTCGTCGAGATTCTTTTTCGACTTCGACTCGACACACGTCACGGCTCCCTTCTGCCGCGTTTCTCCTCCTGAGCTTAGACTGCTTGTCTGCTCCAAACTCGGGTTGCCTCACGCCACCCATGGCTTCCTTCAATTTCATCAAATCTGCCCCCATGACCGACGTAGACCGCTCTTGAGCACCTCGATACCACCCACATCCGAGAGAGCACCAAGTCCCGAGCACCATTAGCTGTGCAGCTCCGAATAGCCAATTCGCAAGGCTCGGTAAACAACGGCAAACAGAAGTCCATAACGAACCCATTGGTCCGAGACAATGGCCATGGAGGGCATGAGCGAAGCACAGTTCAACCAGACTCTTCAGCAGATTAACGACAATATCAACGACGACGACAAAGAATTGTTTGTTGCCATTGTCGCTCTCGTCATCTCCATCGTCGCCTTGCTTGCATCCCTCCTGCAGGTTGCACAACAATATTTCGCTTCCGCCGCTGGCTATTCGAGTTGTGGCAGCAAGGTGATAGGAAAATGGTCCGAATCCAAGCAGCGCAAAATCAAGTTCACCGAGTTCCGATTCGAGGTCCTTTTCGAAGCTCCCGTCATTTTCCTATGCCCTCCGACTAATAAGAAGGGCCCCGTCAAAGACGAGCCCATTATATTCATCGACGGCTCGGAAAAGAGCTTGCTGGACAGCCGGTCCGAACTTCAAGATCAGAAGGATGTTTCCGACAAGGAGCTTGCGAAACAGTCAGTCCATACGGCTGACAATGAGCGAGCTTCGTGGGTGGCGCTCCTCTCTGCCCTGCAAAAAATGGAACATGAATCTAGGGAATGGCAAGAAAGACAATATACCGAAAAAGTCTACCAAAAGCCACCCAAGGGATCTGACCAGCTCGAGAGCCAGGAAAACGTTGCCAGCGTCCTTAAAGAAGTCAGTGACAAGTATACTCTGACGGTCGCCATTCAGAAGAAGCGTAGGAGCTGGGATACGATGCCCACCAACGTCAAGAAGCCATACGCCACAACGACGTGGTGCCATATGGTCGAAATGCTGGCCATGCTCGGCGTTTACTGGGTCGAATTCAATAGGACCAACGATAGATACCGTGCAGAAGGCAATGGCTACACCATCACGGGGGAGAAGGTCAGCGATCTTGGTATCATGTTCACATTCCAGGTTTATGGACGCAGTCGATTTGAGAACAACCGTGTCATACCCGTGGACGAGACCAAGGAGCTTTGCTTTGGCTTTCTCCCAACTATTTACCGGGCGACGTCGGACAATCGACGTTTGAAGTTTCCCAACGATGAGCCCCGCGACCTGTCGACCCTTAACTTCGCCAGTAACCATGAAATCGCTGAAACGCTGGTTTTGATCGGCTGTAATACCAATACCGTCAACTACTTTTCCACCACATCGACAGCCAGGGTTGGCCATTTGTTTCCTGGTAAGCTGAGGTCGTACAGTTCTTTCTGTTTCCCAGCGCTAACATTTTCCTGGCAGTTGCTTTCGAGATCGTAGGCATGCTTGGACGTACACTCCACATTGAGAAAAGCGCATTCCGTTTACTTCCCAATCCTACTCACTATCGATGGGATACGAAAAACTTCTCCTTAACCAAACTACTGGAAGCGTACACCATGCAAATGAATAAACTCAAGTCGGATCAGCCAACTCCTAGCCTTGTCGGCAGAGCCATTCGGAGGAACATCCGAAAGATTAATGGGCTGATCAAGACGCACACTGCCGCCTCTGGCAACTGGTTGAGCCTGCCCCTCATGGATGCTCTACACGAGGCTCTTGACGACACCGATGAGATTTTGACGGCAAGGGCGAAGGTATCTCGGCCAACAGCGCCTCCACGGGTCGACTCGATGATGACCGCAAAGCCCTCGGTTTTTGAGGGTAACCCTGAAGGCGCAGTTGAGAGCGCACGACGTGAGATGGTGCAAGATGTGTTACGCAGTCATATTCAAGAGGTCCTAGGAGGGTTCAACGAGAAGCCGGAAAAGACGGCACCGAAACCTACAGGTACCGCCGCCACAATGGAAAACAGAGTGAGAAGTCAGCTTCGATTTGAGGATATCGATGCGGCACCACCAGAACTAAAGCAAGAAAAACTCATGGAGGTTTACTTCCGCTTGGTGCGGAGAAAGGTCATCGAAGTGTCTCGAGAATCGTCAGATAGGCGCGAGCAGCCTACTGTGGGCTTTGGCGGTCTCAAAAAACGGAACCAAACCAACTTCAGTACCCGGACCGTCGAGACAATAGACGATGATGAACCAATACTGCTGCACGAGTTGGGCGAGGAGCACGTCACCCACGAGGATATCTGGTGCACTCTCGTTTTCCGGATGATTTGTTGGCTCATGCTACACGATTTCCACAAGAAAGATGTCCAGGTATCGAAGAGCGAACTTTTGGGCAGCCGCTTGCCGGTATATATCTCATAGTCAAAAGATATGACGAGGAGGATGACGATCATTTCAAGCATTTTGGAAGAAAGAAATTGCATTAATAGGATATGGATGGATATGGACGAATTATGAGCATGAGAGCGAGTAGTTTGATGTCCCCCGAAAGCCCCAATTGGAGCTAGACATGAAACAACTTCGGTCTTCAGGGTAGCTTACGAATGATGACAATGACAATCAAACGATTATCTTAAAAATCAGAAATCCCCTGTGTGAGAAGACGGGAGTCTAGGCCCGTACGCTCTGGCTGAGAAGGGCTGGCGGCAGCAACGCTTATACCTGTCAGCGCTTCGTCAACTTGTCATGCGATTGATCCCCTGACCAAGGTCTGGGACAAGAGTCTGGAGGGTTGGCCTGGACAGAGCCAGCCGGCCGATGGGCTAGTGAATTCATGGAGAGGCAACCCGAGGCCCGGGAACGAGGATGGAGCCCGACTGAGGGATGCGGAGCCCGTCACTGGCTTGTCACCGAGGCTCCAACCGACCTTTTTGCGATTCCAGAACTCTAGCACGGTACTCCATCAACGCCCAGCGGCCCAGAAAGTTCCCAAGCTGCAAAGTGATTGCAGTCCTCACATTCCAAGGTCCTCTGGGCGTACCGGTACTCATGGGACCGGGGACGCGCGAGAGCGCTAGGCCGGATGAGGGCGAACGGCGGCAAACAGGGGGAAAAGAACCGTGGTTCGGCAAGAGTGGAGAAGCCTACGATTGGGAGCCTGTATCCGTAAAGGAGCATGGTTCACCGAGGCTCTGGGAAGACGATACCTACCTAGCTGGCCATGCTGCCGAATCGTGAAATGCTTCGAGGACTATTTGTTATCCTTTGGCTCAAAATACTAGCCGAGAGATGGGTGGGATGAGCGTATGTGATGTGTACGGGGACCCAAGATTGACACGAATGCTAATGGCACAGCACAGCGCCTTGACACTGTAGGGGCTCTTGATGTCACGTAGTGGAACCTGTAGTCCGCCAGAACGACTTCATCGACGTGTTCCGTATTCAATTCCTTAACGTTGGAAAGCAATGTTACATGCGATGCTTCGGCTTCCCTGGGCGCACGCACGCTTAAGGTGAGGTGCTGCACTCACTCAATGCGAGAGGGACGCGCGGGGAAGGGCATTTGACTTTATCGGTGCATATTCAAGACGGAAGCAGACGGATGAGGCCAGTAGTTTGATGCAGGCCGCAGCTCACCATGGTTGTTGGTCTCTCTAGACGCCGGTTAGTGTGATGTCGTCCAATGCCTCGCAGCGCAGAAGACGCATCTGTGCGGCGGCTTTCAGGGCTGGGTGCGAGCCAACGAGCCTCGCGAACGAGTGTGGTGTTTGCTGGTTATTTCATCCATGGTTGGCAGACATGGCTCAGACAATGGCTCTGTCGGTTCGTAAGTGGCTTGCTGCTGGCGTCCTTCTTCTCCCCGTTCTCGAGGCGTGTGTCAGCGGCTTTGCAACGGAATGTCTTGGGCGTTGGTCCCTTGATTAAGAGAGAAAAATGCGTCTATAGGGTGGTGACTCTGGCGAGAGTGCTGCGCGCTTGAAGCACTTCTCGGGGTTGGGGGTCCAATTGCATTCTCGAAACAGAATCGCGGTGTGGGAGGGCGGTATGAGACGAGACACTGCTTCACGGGCGACGACGGATAACGCGTTTACAGAGTCTGTATTACCAGAGGGTGCGTGAGTACTAGTTAGGTAGACGCGACCAGCCTATTCATGGCCCCCCTTGGCGTGAGATCAGCGGATGATGGGCAGGCGAAGCAGTTTACATAGAACTTTGGGTACGGTAGGCGAATGTGCAACCCTGCGACGTGGTGGCAGCGTGCCACTGCCCAAGTTGACGCGAGAATTGGACGAGCCCAGCGTGAATGTCACTGGGGAACCTGGACCCGTGGCCGCCGTGACTGGCACGACTGGCATCTGCGAGAATGTGACTGGGGGCCATGGTGAGTGCAGTGCAGGGAAGGGAAGGGGAACTAGGGCCAGCCGCCAGCGGACCGAGGGATTGGGTTTGACATGGTCCTGAGTTCGGCCGGCAACGGCCATGACAAGGGGAACAATTCACAGTGACGACCGAGGACTGGCAGCGGCAGAGGGCCTTGGTCTGGTGTTTGTTGGAATGGAGATTGATCATTGTATGCTCGGAGGTCTCTTGCTGGCTGACCTCGTCTCAAAGGCGGCAAAAAGAGTCGAGAACCAAGACAGGGAATTCCAGCCATTCTGCCGATGGCGTACAAACAAGGAACCTGAGGTGAGAGACCTGTCCGAGAATAGACAGAGACAAAGACGGCATCTGCATAGGTATGTAAGCGCAACAACATTGGTAGACAAGCCATGGGCGCAGCAACAGCCAAGATTCAGGACCAACAAGAGCAACGAAACTGCTTGCGAAGTTATGGATAACAACTTGCCTAGCTTTGTGCTTCTGAGGCAATCGTTCCAGAAGCAGGAGCAATATCTGTCTACCTTACTTACCTTACCTGACTGCCTTCCATCGCTCCGAACATATCGTCAATTCTAAGATGCGTGAAGTAAGGTGAGATGGATGACAAACAATCTGTTGCGGTGCTGAGTACCTTGTACGCTTGAAACACCGGGTCAAATACCTCTACAGCTAACAGGGGAAGGGGGGCCCCGCTTGATCGAATTAGAAGGGCTCCATCAATGGTTGCAGTCAATTATGTACTGTCGTTACAGAAGGTACTGCAGACTGCACACCTCCCTCCAAAGGCTAAGAGTCAGGTGACCAAGGCAGCAAGTCTCAAGGCAGCTAGGTACCTCCGCAGTATGTACGCTTGCCAGTCGCTGAGGTCGACCATCGAGCGAATCTGGAAAGAGAGCACAGGCTCCAGAACCCCACTTTTCCTCACTTTGACCAGACCTGGAGCGCACGTGTTGCTTCTCCACTTTGCCATGGGACAGGTACGGAGTACTCCGTACCTTTGGCGTGGACATCTGCTGTGTATCCGTAAGACTAGATGGTGGACGAAAGTAATCCAGGGTTGGCAATCCAAACATTTGAGGCCAACATACTTCGAAGAAACAAGCAAAGCAGAGCAGAGACAGGAAAGCAATGTCAAAGAAAGAACATGCCCCTTTTTCAGTGTTGGCTGGTGATTTTGGCTGGACAAGGTCAGGCAGGTATGAAACCCTGGGTTGCTCGCTGTAGCCGCTCCCGAACCAACACACCGGCCAAGTGGCCCAGTGACGCTCGTCGTCCTGAGTGAGTGGAGGCCACTAAAGGAGGAGCCTGGCAAGCCTGGAACTTGGAAGCAAGGAGCGATCGAAGCAAAGTACCTTTTCTGCCAGCTGTCCACCTCAAGATACCTCTCTCTTACTACATATCTAAGGATAGGCACTTTGATGCGAGCGGCGAGCGGACCACAAACCCGCAACGAAAAAAGATTCTGTTTTTATTTCTTTTCTTTGCTGCCATTCCGCCATCTCATTTCATCTTGTCGCTTGAGCGTTGCCCGCCTGCCTGATCCACTTTCCATGCTTAAGAGTCTAGACTCGAGATCCGGACGGCACCTACCTAGCCTGCTCGTGCCTGCTAGGTATTGATGAATCAATCGAGTCTGTTCTCGTTCAGTCGAGATTCCCGACATTGGGCCCTTGTTCTATGCTCTCATTGCCTCGATAACCTGTCGCCCACCCAGCGCTACGCTCAAGTCTCAAAGGAGAGGAGAGTGTGCTTTGATATCATCTACCTCGAATTATAACAAAGACGCAAACAAGCCCGGACCCAAGCCTGACCTGATCCACATAAGAAAGTAAGAAAGGCGAAGACGCCTTCTTCCCTCTTGTTTTCCCTCGCCGCTTTCACTACCTACCTCGTTGCTTGAAGCCAACTTTATTCCCCGCAGCTTGGAAACCTTCCATTCTCTCCTACAATCCTTCCAGGTTACGTCTTTGGCACCTACTCGACATTCTTCCATGCCCGGCATTTTGCTGTGCGAACAATTGATAGAACCCTTCTTCATTCCTGCCTGTCACCATTTACCGCTCCCGAGGTAACTTGGCGGCGGGAGTATCTTTCCTCGATACTCCGTACATTACCTACCTACCTTAGTACCCAGCTTGACTTCCCTGACGTCCGGCCGCCGACAGTCGTCTCACCGCGTTATTGACCGACGCCTGCTTTTTCGGCTTGCCTTGCATCGCCCCCGTCTTTCCTTCCACTGCGGCATTGCTTCTGCGCTTTCATTCCATTCCGATCCGTTGCGGTGTGAGCAGCGGGCTTCTGTTGTGCCGTGCACCTACTAATTGGGTACCGTATTGCTTTACTCAAGGCCTCCCAAGGTTGGGTACCTACTTTGAGTAGATACTGAGAGTGGTACCTTATATTTGGTGTTTTGTAGGCGAATCTACAAGTACCTCCCGCCAGGTACTTTTTCTTCAGGGGTGCCCATCCACCTGGGGGCAGGCAGTGAAAACCTGGAACGAACCTCCCCGTGCTGTTTTTCCTCCGCGGTACTGAGGTACCTTCCATTGCCTTCATTGCCCCCCAAAACCGACAAGGACCGCGCCGCATCACCAACGAGTCGCTCTTTCCGCCGTGGCCCGCGACACCCTATCCGTACGTACCTAAAGTTCCCAAGGCTCCTCCTGCCCGCCCTCACACCCTCGCGGTTCGCCCTCCCCTCCCGCCTTGGTTGTCCACGGTGCTGCCACCAAAAAACTCCACCTCCACATCCACAGTACCCGCACCCGTAAGCCGTGCCTGCAACCTGCGACCTGCGACCGTAATCCCGCCCGCCACCTTCGAAATCCCCAACCCTCACTCACACCCGATTCCGATCCCAAACCTTACATTTCCTCTCCTCTTCGACACCTCCCCTCTCTTTTCCGACACTCTCACGACAAATACTCCCCGCCTCACATCGCATCTTGCAGCAGTCGAGATTTCGAACTAGACCGCATACCACGCGAGAGGCAATATGACGCCCTCGCCCGGTCCTCAGATCAATACCACGGAGGTGAGGC